GGATGGTGGATAGATGGGTGAGTGGGTGGGTGGGTGGATGAGTAGCGAGACGGTGGGCAGGTGGACTGATGGGAGGATAATCGGTCACTCCCTGGGCTGTCTGCCTAAACCAGGAGCTATCCGAGAAGCTTCCTTGACTGCTCCCACCTGGGGCGCAGGAAGCACTCAGCCTGGGAAGAGGAGCTGCTCTGGGTTAGTCCGAGCAGACAGGGGTGGGGTGAGCTGGAGTGCACACGGGACGGGGGAGGGTGCATGCACACGTACTCACAGCAGATAGAAAGCCAGGCTTCTGAACTGCCCCTGGAGGAAGGTCTCAGTGCCCACGCCGATCAGCACTAAGGGGCAACAGGAGAGGGTGATGGCCCGCGTGCTCCATGCAGCTCTGCCCGTCCAGGGCTCCTTGGCTGTGGAGTCAGGTCCTCCCCTGCCCAGGAGCCAGGGAAGCTCCTCCTCTGTGCAGCACAGGCAGCTGTGGCTGGAAGCTGGCATTGTCTGGAAACCCCAGGCAGAGCTCAGAGGCCTTGCTGTGCGGCCTCCCCAGAGCACAGGTGCCCTCTGTGGCCACTCTCCATAGTGCTCCCAGAGACTGTGCTGCAGGCCACAAACTGCCTCTCCATGTGTGGCCCTGAGACCGTCACCACCCTGCTGGCCTAGGCCGGCGTGCACTGCGAGTCTGCTGTCAGTGCTTGGCCGTGGCCAGGGCTGCCCTGGTCCCCTTCCTTGCCCAGATCACTGGGCGCATCTTCCTGGGGGCCTTATCCGCACTCGCAGATTTGGCGGCTGCCTCTCCCTCTGCCTGCCACCACTTTGGACCCAGGGCCAGTTAAACCCTGGGGTTTTGCTCTGACGTGGGGAGCGGCTCGGCTTTGGCGTTCCCTGACCTTTCATGGCAGTTAGTCTTTGTGTGTGAACACTTGCCTTCATTTGTCCAGGGCTGATTTTGCTGTGGACCATCTTTCTAGGCTCACTGGCTCCTGTCCTCCCCTCAGGCATTCCCTTGTCCCCATGGCTCCCACCCAGTCACTGATAGGAGCGTCCCACGGAAGGTGCATGGGCCACTGCCTAGAAGTCTTTCTGTCCCTAATTGATCACACCCTTGGTCACCTGAATTTCTCTCTCTGGGTCTGATGCTGCTGTGTGCCGGAGGGTGGCTTTACTCTCTGTCCCTCCCGGACAGTCAGAGATGATGGTGCTGGGCTGTCCTGCTTGGCTGCCTGTGTGGCCCCTTACCCTGCCCCCCCAGGGCTGCTTCGCTGGGCTCTGGTGTCCTCTCTGCTCCCTGGCAGACATTGTGAGCTCTGTCCTGGGAGTCCCAAGCTGCAGTAGCCCTTCATCCATCGCTGAAATGCTGCCTCCTGATGAGCAGAGAGGAAGCCTCGGGATCCTTGTTCCTCACTTCTGGGGGATTGTGCAAGAACTTGGGAGAAGGGGACAGAGCACTTGGGTTTAGGCAGCGAGGGTTGGTGGCTGTGCTTTCTGAGTGATGTATAGAGGGTCCCCATCCACACCCTCCAGTTTGGGGACAGTGTGGGATGCTGCATGTCCTGTGCCCCACCCCCAGATTTGAGCTGCCCCGTGGCTTGCTCCTGGCAAATCACTGGTGATACCGGTGACCCTGCCAGGCTCAGCCCGTGAGGGCCTGAGCTCACGGAGTGCCCCGGGGCATAAGCACAGCACTCACACACACCCACCTCCTCAGCACAGCCTGTGCTCAGAAGGTCTTGTCTCTGCTTTCATGGAGGAGGAAGCGAGGCTTGGTGACCTGGGGCTGGTCACTGAAGGGAACCTGCAGGAAAGAGGCCTCGGAGACCAGGCGCCAGCCTTCTGCACCCAGCTGGTTTCCTGGTATCTTCTACCAGTGTGAGTGCATGTGAGTGTATGCGTGTGAGTGTGCACGTATGTGAGTGAGGGTGCATGCGAGTGTATGCGTGTGAGTGTGCATGGCTATGTGAGTGTGCACGTATGTGAGTGAGGGTGCATGCGAGTGTATGCGTGTGAGTGTGCATGGCTATGTGAGTGTGCATGTGTGCGATGATGGCATGCGTATGTATGGGAGTGTGCGTGGCTGTGTGAGTGGGCCTGTGTGCGAGTGAGGGGATGTGTGCGTGTGTGTGTGGGGCTATGTAAATGGGCACACGTGTATGGTCACGTGAGTATGCACATGTGCGAGTGAGGGCATGTGAACGTGTGTGAGTGTGTGCATGTGTGAGTGAGGGCGTGTATATGTGTGCGAGTGTGCATGGCTATGTGAGTGGCACATGTGCGAGTGAGGGGATGTGTGTGTGAGTGGGCATGTGAACATGCGTGCGAGTGTGTGTGTGGTTGTGTATTTGTGAGGGTGTGTGCTGTACAGGCAAACGGTCCCTTACGTAGTTGTCTCTCCTCCATTGGCAGTCCTCAGCATTTATCAGCTAACAAGTCATGGCAACACTCCCACGTGGAGAGGCTGTGGGCATCCCTCCGTGCAGACCAGGAAGCCGAGGCACAGAGAGTGCTGCCCCGGCAGGGCCTGCATCTGTCTATTTGCCCTTCAGTCTCTCCGAGCCTCAGTTTCCTCGTGGCACCTCTGCACGTAATGGCTATGAGGACTCACTGAGCCGACTGGTGCCAAGCCTGTCACAGGTGCTCACTGAGTCACGTGTTAGTTTTTGGTACAGAGGCTCAGTCCCGCCGGGGAAGAGGTCTCTCCACTCAGGGCCCAGGGCCTGGGGAAGGGGTCTTCCACTGAGGACAGATGAGTGTGGTGGTGCACTTCTCCGTGACTGAGGCTCCATCCTATGGCTTGGGCTGTGGCAGGTCGCCAGCAGGGGGCAGGGGAGAGTTGTGGGACCTGCCCTTTCCCTGGTTTGCACTGCCCTGGTCTGTGGAGAGCTGCTCACTTTAGACTGAAACAGAGACAACAGCCAGAGGGGCGTCCGAGGAACATGTGGGGCAGAGCTGGTTTGCAGCGAAGAGAAAGAGCTGAGCTGGAATCCCAGCTCTGCCTGCGGTCAGCTGGGTAATCCCTGGGAAGCTCTTGCCCGTCTGAGTAGGGTCTTCTCATGTGAGCAATGAGCAGAGTAAGTAGACCTCCAGTCATTGCTCAGGCTGGACAAACAGCAACCATAAACGGATGGCCTTGTGCCTGCTAGGTGTCAGGTGGTCAGCTCATGCACGCCCCTTCCTCCCCGACGTGGGCCCTGCAGCTTGCCCAGTCCCCAGCTAGCCCTTTTTACACCCAAGGATGTGAGGGCACCAACCCTAAAATGCTCCCAACCCTATCACGCCGATTCTACAGGCCCAGGGACAGAGAGGTGACTCTGGCTGGAGGAGGACAGCATGAGGGAACCAGAGGATCTTCAGGCAAGGCTGAGGGGGATCTGGTGGCACTCTCATGGGTGGCCGTAAGGCACTCCGACACCCAGGTGAAGGGGTCACCACTTGCTGCCTGAAACTCCCAGGGCTGGGGCCATGTTTTTGGAGGCAGGTCATGCCCAGTGGAGACACTGACCATGAGGTCCTCCCTTTTGCCTCCACCCTGCCTGTTTTCCCTGGGCCTCAGTCCTTGGGCTGCTCCTGCTGGGTCCTGCCTCCCACATTCCTCGGCTTCCTCTTGGCAATTCTGCCTACACATGCTGCCATCTCGTTTTCCGTGACCTCCTGTCAGGGCGATTTGGGATCAGGCCATAGTGGGGGAGAGGCTAAAGGCATGCATTGGATCATCCTCTGCTTGGCCTGGCAGGAGAGATGTGATTCGGACTGAGGGAAGTCCCTTCAGTGCACTGGGACAGCGCCCCAGGCTGTACGCAGCTCACCCAACACACTTTGGGGCCAGCCGAGGGAAGGGCCATCCTGGGTCTTCGTGGGTAAGACTTCATGAAGAAGATTAAACCTAGTGAGGTAGGTAGGCAGGAAGTGGATAAGTGCAAACGGAGGCTCAGGCACTCCAGGAAGGCCCCCGCCCATAACAGGAAGTTGTGCAGACCGGAGCAGGGCATGGAAGGGGGAAGTGGGCAGTGCATGTGGATCGAGGCCACATTGTGGGGTCCTTAAATACCAGACTCCATAGCCAGGCAGAGAGGAACCCTTCGGTGTTTTGAGGGTTCTGCTGAGGGAGGTTGCTATGGCTTGGACAGTGGTTTGTCCCCAAAGGTTCACGTTTTGGAATTTGTTCCCAGTGTAATGGCGTCAAGGGATAGTGAGACCTTTGAGCTAAGGTTGGGTGGGCAGCGATGGGATCTTGGAGGCATCCCCAGGAGTGGATTAATGGATTAGATTAATGCTGTACCTTGAGACCTGATGAGGTCCAGCTCTCACGAGAAGGGGCTAGTTCCCGTGAGAGCGGGTAGTTCTAAAATATGGCTGCCGTCAGGGCTCCCTCTGCACGTATCCACCTTCTTCTTTCCTCTGCTAGCCACATTGTGATGTAGCCAGCCCGATGCCAGTGCTGTGCCTTTCGATTTTCCAGTCACCAGAACTGGGAGCCCAAAAAACCCCCTCTGCTTTTTATGAATTACCCAGTCTCAGGCATTTCTGTTAGCAACACAATAGTGGACTGGGACAGATATGCTCAGATTGGTGTTTCAGGCTCTAGCCCTTGACCACCACAAATAGCGCCAGGCTCTTACCCCATGCTCAGGCAGATGAGCTAAGAGGCTGGTGATTCTGGGGTAAGAGACTGGCACTATTTCGTGGTGGCTAAGGGCTTGAGCCCAGCTCTGGGTGCTCCTGGCACCCTGCCTCCTAGAATGCTGGGCTTTGTCAGGTCCTTGGTGGGCCTTGGCTTGAAGCAAACTTCTGACTGTGGCTGCTGATGGGTACCAAGCTTGGGAGAGGGAGCGCTGGTTCAGTCTGGAGACCCAGACAAGGCTTCGCAGGCATAAAGGAGAGGGCATGCCCTCCTGCCATCACACGTTGGTCTTTGTTTGGTTGTTGGATTTTGGCTCTTTCGTATCAGTTAAGGGCAGAAGGCATCTGTGTTTGGAAGCACCCCAGGTATGCCCTTGACAAGGTGCCCCAGGTGCCGTGCACCGCAGTAGGCCATCGGTATGCATCTGTGTAAGCTGCACACCCCGACAGGGGACTGTTAATGCATCCTATTTATGGAAAGCCCAGACAAGTCTCCTGGGCTGAAGTGCCTGGCCTGAGGCCCTCAGGTGGCCACGGGCAGACAGGAGCTGGGAAGTGGGCAGGATTCCCAGCAGTCCTGAAGTGCTGGCAGGGGTTGGGGAAAGTTTTGGTGAGAACGATGTGGGCAGAGGAGACATTTCCTTGGCAGCCTCAGAACACAGGAGGGTCATGTGGCGAGATGGGATCCGTGTTCCAGCAGTGGGGATGACTGTGCTCCCCAGCCCAG